GGGCTGCTGCTGGAGCAGCCGCTGTCCCTGGCCAGCCACTTGCCCCCAGCAGCCTTTGTCCGTGGGAAGCTGGGACCCCCTGTGGACAGGGATGGGAGGCAGCCAGTTTGCAAGGGAGCTGGTTTTTAAACTAAAAAAGCGACGAGGAGTTCTTATACAGATTTACTGGAGCATAAGCTTTCGTGGGCAAAGACCCACTTCATCAGATGCATGTAGTGGAAATGGTTTTTAAATTGGCTCCCATCGTGGATAAGCTCCCCTCTGCCGCCCCACACTGCCGCCTCTGATACAGAGGAAGCAGCACGGGGTGGCAGGGAGCTCCCTAGGAGTGGAGCCAGAGCACACTGGCTGCTGGCCCCACCCCTGGGGACTACAGAATAGTTGACTAACCACTAAGAATTCATGCAGTTAGTCAACTATTGTATTACCTGCTATCTAACATCCCCAATTCACATAGGATATTTTAAGTTTTTACCAGTCAGAACATCAATATTAGTAATTATAAAAGAATTAATTATTTCAGGTATTCCAATACAAGGCACAGGGTTCTTTTGTTACTCTGTAAATATCTGCTTCTTGACTGTACCAGAGTAGCTCTTTTACTGTGCAGCTTTATCCTTCTATGAGTAGGATGAAGTAATCTAGGAATTCTCTGTCAGTCAAGAATGGGCAAAGATGACATTTTATGTATGAGTATACTTTTACCAATGACATCCTGCTTGTGTGAGAAAGACAAATTAACAAAGACTTACTTCTCATGAGCAAATCGCTGAACCTCCTGAGCAATCCTATGCACAGCAGACCCACCTTGCTCTTCTTGGGCTAATATGGACATCATAGTCTGAGCAAAGAGATATGTGTGTTCTCCGTGACAAACCATTTTCTGTGAACACATTCAGGGAGATATTATTGGCCAGGCTGAAAAATCTGGGTCACTTTCAACACATGTATTGCCTGGTTAGTTAATGGGGTTGAATAACTGAGTAAGATATAATGTAAATCGAAGGTGATACCACAGAAAATCCAGTGAAGAATGACACCTGTGTATGCTATTTCAGGACAAGCTAGATTTAGAGTTCCTGCTTCATTTTGGTACCCAACATAAAAAGTTTCTTGGAGTTCTCTCTCAGCTTCCAGATCTCATGGCTGTCCAGTATTTCTCTCTCTAAATTTAGAGAATGAATTAGCATTAAACTCTACAAACTTCACTACAATATTTTGAAGAAACAACACGTACTTGTCACAGTTCAATTGCATCTGTACTTGTGCTCAGTGGTACACCAAGGGCACCCACCCTCAGGTATCCCGCTCCCCAACTGTTGTCTCTCTTGAATGGACACACACATCTCTCTCTTCTGTTAGGAGTATTCTCATACTGCACAGTTCCGATGACTTTATTGTGTAATTCCCAACACAGAAAGGTTGCCCTAGGTAAGACACCTGCCTGCTTTCTCTTCAGAACAGATAATAGTATAATTGCTTCAGGTATAAATTACCACACTTTTTTTTCCTAAGCAATCCTCATTTATTCTTAAAATAAAACATATTAAAAACAACACCCCTCACACTAATAAGCTACCAGCGGTCATCCCAATTCTCATGTGGGCTTTGGCAGGCGCTATCTTTTAATATTCCCATCCTAGAGGGCATTCTTGGGATTACAAATTCATTAGAACTTCAGAACAAGCACAAATTCTTATGAGGTCCCAGTAGGCCAAGTACTTCCAACGCCCCGCTAAGCACTGGGGTCCTCCAGGAAATAAGGGTCCTGTCCATTTACTGGAACAGGAAGAAGGTTCCGAGGAAGATTAAATCCCAGGCTTTTATCCAGAACTATTTCCTTTGTCTGTTAGCCCCAGAAGAATTCAATTTGAACTAGTATATGTATTTCTCTCCATGAGGGTGACTTCAAAGAGCTGATAATGGAAGAAGTATATAAATACTCCCCTTCTTACCAGAGAAGGTACATACTAAGAATGTTAACTAATGAGTAATTTACTAGTTGAGTAGTCGATGGAATTTCCATCGACTACTCCACAGGCACTTCCACATTCCTCCTTTGAAATGTACAAGAGCCCCCGTTGGGGCTCTTGTACATTTCAAGGAAGGAATGCAGAACTTCGTGTGCAGCGCAGGACCAGTGGGAAGTCCCACTGACTCCAGGCTCCACAGGGGCGCTTACCCTTTGAAATGCACAAGAGTTCCTGGGGGCAACTGTGTATTTCAAAGCTGAAGCACCTGCATGGAGCCAGGAGTCAGCAGGACTTCCCGCTGGCCCTGTGCTGTACAGGGAGTTCCGCATTCCTTTCTTGAAATGTACAAGAGCCCAAGCAGGGGCTCTTGTGCATTTCAAAGTGGAAGTGCCCTCATGGAGCTTAGGGTGATCCAAGGACTCAGTGTCCCCTGCTGATCCTGGGCTCCATGCTTCAATGCTGCTTTGAAATTCCATGCAGAGCCCAGGATCAGCTGGGGACAGATCCTGGGCTCTGCGCAGCATTTCCACAGAACCTGGGGTCAGCTGGGGACTCCACAGCTGAAACCCGGGCTCCACTCGGCATTTCAAAGCGGCAGCGCCGCATGGAGCCTGGGATTAGCTGGGGACTCCCCAGCTGACTCTGGGTTCTGTGGAAATGCTGCAGGGAGCCCAAGATCAGCTAGGGAGTTCCCCGGGGTCAGCTGGGGACTGATCCTGGGCTCCATGAAGCATTTTCACAGAACCCATGGTCTGGGGACTCCCCAGCTGATACCGGGCTCCGCTCAGTGTTTCAAAGGGGCAGTGCTACACAGCTGATCCTGGGCTCTGTGCGGCACTGCCCCTTCGCAACGCCGTGGCAGCATTTCAAAGGGGCAGTGACACATGGAGCCAAGGGTCAGCTCCGTGCAGCGCTGCCACTTTGAAGTACCCTCTCTCCCTCCCCCTGCTTTGCTGCCTCTATTTGATAGAGGTAGCAAGGGGGGTAATCGACTAGTTGACTGGACTATCCAATAAGCATTTGCTTATCGGATAGTCAACCAGTCCTTAACATACTTAGTACAGACAATGCCACAACACAGACAACATTGTTACTACAACGTTCCCAAAGATGTAAACCCTGATTAATGAGATTTAATTTAGTAATAGAACGCCAGCAAATGCCCAGTCCCAGACTTTCATCAGAAACGCATCTTGTACTGCCCAATCCTCTCCTAGACAACACAAACTCATATAAAGTCTGTCACTTTAATAATAGAAAATGATATGCACAAATCCTGTCATCTCTAATGAAGTTTCCCTAACACTTCAATTCAAACACACTGTTGGGTGCTGAAGAACTTCCAAGAGTCACTGCCCTGAAGTCCTGCATCATAGGCAACATCCATCTCAATCCAGATTTTCTAGAGCAACTACAATTATGCCACTACTGATACCCACCTGTCAACTGATATCATGTGTTGATCAGGACTTTAGTGGTTCTAACATTCCTCACCTTCCCATGGGACTTCTTCACCTTCCCATTATTTAGACTAATAATCCTATAAAAGCGTTCTCTCAGCAGCTCATGCAACCCTAGAGAGACCCAGACTCTGAACACTATACATTGTTTACAATTTACAACTCTTGAGCTATAGTTTTTTTGGGTGGCCCATAAACCAGACTGCATAACCATTTCACAACATTCTGAAGACACATTGAATTTTCTATACCTCCTTTATCACCCAAGAAGCAGCGAGATTCCTTTTGACAAAATGTAAAGACACTTACTGCAAACTCTGGGAGATTCTTTTCAAGGTTTTCTTCCCCTCCATCTAAAATTGTAGCCAGAGAAGTACGTAACACTCGAGAAAAGACTTCTAATTGCTGACATGCTGTGGATACACTGGTTATTTCCCCTTGATAACCAGCATCAGATATAAGCTACAACAATAAACAACACTTAAAATTATTTTTATATTTCAGCACATCTCAACAAGATAGGATGAAATTACACCACAAAGAATGCTAAATGACTCTGTATACACTTCAGGGTGTCAGGGTGGTTAAGCACTGGAATAAATTGCCTAGGGAGCTTATGGAATCTCTATTCTTAAAAATCTCTAAGAGCAAGTTTGATAAACACATGTCAGGGATGGTCTAGAAATCCTGCTATGAGTGCAGGAGACTTGACTAGATGATCCCTCAAGGTCCCTTCCTGTCCTATGATTCAGTCCATGGAAATCAGATAATACAAATAAATAATAAACAGCATCTAGGCATTATCTCAAAAATATGAAGATAATGGCAGGTGGATAAATCTCAGTCATTAACATTCCCTGTACTACCTTAAAAAAAAAAAACACACCTACAGCACATACTATTAAAATAATGCATTTTCATTCCCGGTCAAATAATTAGTATGTAATATGAATATGTAATTCAGTGAAGGATTTCGCTAATGTCATGAATTGTCAAAGTAGTTTGTATAAAATGTAAGAATCACTCATGAAGTGAATTAAGCTTCTTAATTGAGCATTCTCTTGCTATCTGGAACCATTATGTTGCCTATAAAACTTTACACAAAAAAAGTTCATGGAGAATAGTAATAGAAATGTAGCCGTGTTAGTCTGGTCTAGCTGAAACAAAAACAGGACTATGTAGCACTTTAAAGACTAACAAGACGGTTTATTAGGTGATGAGTTTTCGTGGGCCAGACCCACTTCCTCAGATCAAATTGTGGAAGAAAATTGGCATGAACATATATACCAAAAGATACAATCAAAAAAATGAACACACATGTTCACGTGGGTCTGGCCCACAAAAGCTCATCACCTAACAAACCATCTTGTTAGTCTTTAAAGTACTACATAATCCTGTTTTTTGTTCATGGAAAAGTTAGTCTCCTGGCTTGTCTGTATGCATATAGGAAAGCCAGGAGACTATTTCTTGATATATTATACATATTTTTTTAAAATAAGGTTAACAATCAGACAGCTGTTCTGTAATCTACATGAAATGGGTTGTTGGTCAGTCTTCCTACACCACAACAACACACCATAACTCTTGGCACCCTTGCAAGTGGTTTAAGGAGGTAATCAAGAATGGGTCCCCTGACAAAAGTGACCCTTCTAAAAACATATGGTGAAGTACACTGCGGAAAAGCCTGTACAAATACCTGCTCTTCAATTAAACAGAATGCTATAGATTTCAGTACATTGTATTTCATAAACAACAAGCTTCCTTTAAAGAAGTCCCACTAATTAATTGGCAGTCATAATGAGGATGGTTTAGATTGTTACACTTTATTTGTAGCCAATTTACTATTAATAATCATACATGTAGATTAGTGTCTTTGAGCCTTGATTTAGCTGTCACACTAAAAGAAAAATATTTCCAACATGCAATACACAACATTCTTTCCATAGAAAATAGACATCTAAAATGCACAGATTTAACAATATTATAAATAGTACTAATATGCAGGGCTCGACAATTTAGGTAATCCACTCGCCCGTGGCGAGTAGATTATAGCCTGACACGGTGCTGCAGCGCGATCAGCGCATGCGCAGCATGTTGAACCGCGCAGCTAGCGAGCGGGGCTCACCGCGGCTTGGCGAGCCCTGCTAATATGAATGTCCAAGAGATTAGGGAAGGTTACAGCTGGCATGCAACGGAGGAAGAATCAGCTTATTACCGAAACAATTTCTATTTATTAGACTCTAGTATTGATTACCTTGACAGTAAAATTAAGCATTAGGCAGTCTGGATGGGCTTCAGCCAGTTTGTAAAAAAGATCTCTCCATGTAGGATGTGCTATCATTTGCTCAAGCCAGGCTGGAGTCTGCAAAAATTACAGAGACAGAAAGAAACTGATTTTTTTTGTGGCACTATAAAGCAATGTAAACATTTATGGAATCCACCAGATTCCATTCTTAAGGTTATCTTTCAAAAGTCTTGAAAGAAAAACAGCTACATTGGAACCTTGTAACAAAACAAAATCTATTTAACATTGAGCAGTTTCCACTGTCTAAATGAACCTACAAGACTTCTTAGATGTGCAGAATAAATTTAACAGAAAGCTAGTTTTTAAAAAAAGTATTAAAGAGGAAGCTAGTTTTCTCCCATTTGGGGGGGGGGGAGAGACACACACCAAGAATTTGGTAAGTGGTCAATGGTATTACTCTTCCATTATATTAATGGAGGAGGTGCGGTGTCTGGAATGGAGGTTGGGTGCAGAAAGGAAACGGGGTAGGTGATTGGGGATCTAAGAGTTTGGATAGAGGATAGGATTCTGACCTGGAAGACTGGTGTAGGGGGGCGTGCAGGAGCAAGATACAGAGGGTTTGGATTGCGACCTGTGACAGGAAGTTGGGGTGCAGGAGGTTGTGGGGTGCCAGATGTAGGCTCTGGTCAAGTAGACGTTTACCCATGGCGGCTCCTGGCCTAATGTGACCCCACATGCCACTCAAAGTGGCTGGATGTGGAGGCTGTGTGTATCTCTGTGCACTGTGGGCGCTTGCCACAAGCACGGCTCAGAGATTATGCTGGGGGCAGGAGCAGTTAGAGAAGCTCCCTCTTTGGGGTACGCAGAGATGCACACATTGGCCCCTGAAGCTGGCCACTTTGAATGGTGTACAGGGATGCAGTAGACAGAAAGCCTACCTGAGGCTCTTGCTGGGCAGCAAGACAGTGAATCCAGGCTGTATTTTGTCCACCCCCCGGTCTAAATAGATATAACCTTATAAAGCTGAACTCAGAGACATGCTGTCTGATTATGGCACCCTCAGGTTGGCCACTAAGCAGTTAGTCTGTACCTGGCCATATGTATTCTATACATTACCTCTCCTTCCTCTGTAAAGATGGAATCTGCTTTCCGAGGGTCAAAGTGTTTGATGAGTAAACTTTTCAAATGGTTTTCTACGGTTTCCTGAACCTGCACTGGCTCAACACCTGCAAGAAAGGAAATGTCACTGGATGGAATTTAAACTGTAAGAGTGGTAACAACTCCTTGAAGTTTTTATAACAACAAAACAGAAGCCATTTAACAAATTAGCAAAGAGGCAAAAAGGGAGACAGTATTCAAAAACCAAAAGAGGGATATCAAGCAATGTTAGATCAGATTTGAAGGATCGCTTTCCTAAACACAGATCTACCAGTTTTTAGGAGAACAGGCATACACATGTGCAGGTTACACTACTTTTTTTCTTGTCTTCTCCACTCATATGAGCAAGCTGGGCATTGATATTTATGAGACTCCTAAATAGGCTGATAATGAAATGTACTTATCTTGTCTGCTCACAAGAAAGCATATGGAGAATAGACAGTGAAGCTACATGCCTACAAATTAAAAATCAGCTGCTTCCCATTTGATACGTTAAAATACATACCCACCAACCTTCCTTTTGAATAATATGTAACCAAGTAACCAGTTTGTGTTAGGGATGTGAAAGGTTAACTGGTTAACCAGAAAGCATTACCCTGGTCAACCAGTAACCACTGGGTACTGGAGCAGTTTCCTGCCTGCCATGGATAGGGGGCTCACTGCAAACAGAGGCTGCTCTGACGCCTGGAGCAGCCCGTCGGGGAACCTGGGCCCGCTGTAGACAGGGGCTCTTCTGGTGGAAGGTGGGTGCTGACAGCAGCCCCGTCCCAGCACAGGGTTGGGGGCAGGAGCCCCATGGGCTCGGGACTGTTAGGTTAGATAAGCCTAACATTTAACAGGTTAAGTGACTAACTGGGATTTTACATCCCTAGTATCCGTACTGTGATCTCAGTGATTTAAGGCATTTCCAGCAGTGTGCATATATTCTTTTTGTACTTGTTACATTTGAATCTACAAAGATGTAGATTTCACCTTCTACTTACACCATTGCAAAGATCCAGCAAAAATTAACACTGAAGTTGCCCCTTAAGAGGAAGAACTGTAGAAATCCCAGAAAATTTGATAGTAAAGAATTTCACTCTCAATCAGTACTTTGGAGAACTACATTTACAAAATTGTACATTTAACTGGTCCACAAAAAATAGGCTGCAACTACAATGTAGTTAAATCAACATTAATTATGCTATAAGAAGATTTTAGGTATTTTTAGAGTATCTATCACAACACTACCCAAACACTATTTTCTGTACATAGAATTAAAATAATAGACAGAAAGTCTAATATAGAAAAGCTCCTTCCATACTACAATTTTAGTATTTTAGTGTTCGTCATCACAATATCTCACTCATCCCTTGGGTACAATTGTGTGCTATTAGACAGCTATCACATAATTACACAAAAGTGGAAATAAAAAATATTCTTATCAGATATATCAGGATTCAAGGCAAAAAATGAATTTAGTCACGTATATTTAGAACAGCAGCTTGGGCCTTAATCCACCTTTTGTATATAATCTACTAATAGTTCCAAGGTTTCTGATATATATATATATATATATAAAACCTACAAAAGACAATGTTAGGCCATTCTAGTATACCTGTTTGAATGAGCCATTCTGCCAGTAGATTTACAGTTTGTGCCACCGCAGTATAATTCTCTGACAGCAGTTGGATAACATTCTCTGGAGAGCCACCTGCCTGGAAATACCTAACAAAGGTGAAAAAAAAAAAAAGAGTTAATTTCAAAACTAAATGAAAAAAAAAAGAGAGTACTCTACCCCTATATAAAGGCAGAACAATGTGCTCATGTATCATTTTCACACACTTACTTACATGTTCATGTTGTAATGTTTTACACTTACCTTTTTAAAGTGTTAAATATAGAGGGCTCCATTATATAATCGCGAGTAGAAAATTTATGCAAACATTCTTGTTGGACTTCAGCATCATCTTCTCCTTCTCCATACTCATCATCCTGCTGTTTACAAACATAGAATCAGAGCAGTTATTTCTTGTTTACATTTGTTTTTTCTAGTATTCTAGTTACATTTTAAATATCTTGCTTGTTGCTCATAGAGGTGCATACACTAATCACAGCAGAAAGCACAACACTTACTATATTTAGGGAAAAAAAGGCTCGATGTAGTGCTGACGCTTTGAAACACCGCATGCAGGCCGGAGTCAACTGGGGACTCCCCCACTGACCTCAGGCTCCATGTGGCACTGCTGCTTTGAAATGTCACATGGAGCCTGACGCCAGGATCCCTGCAGCATTTCAAAGTAGCAGTGTCACATGGAGCCTGGGGTCAGCTGAGCAGTCCCCAGCTGACCCCGGGCTCCATGCGGTGCTGCCACCTTTGAAACGCTGTGGGGGAACACAGGACCAGTGGGGGACTCAAGCAGTCTCCCACTGGTCCCGTGCTACCTGCAGTGCTTTCGTCTTTGAAGTGTAGCAATAGCCCTGAGGCTGTTGCTTCACTTCAAAGGTGGAGGGGCCCTTATCAACTAATCGACTACTCGATTAGCCAATTAATCTAAATTTAACTTCCCTACTCCATTCCTCAGGGTCTGCCCCTCACCCTCCTCCAAACTCCAATTCTGCCCAACGCCCCCTGCTTGCCTTTACTTTCCCCCCCATACCTCCCTCCTCACTTGGCATTTGGAGGTATGATGACAGATGACCCATTTTTAAAGAGACAATCCTGTATTTAAGCCCTTCTGTGGGTGTTCCTACTTTTTCTTAAAAATGGGCAAATTGTCCATATTTTCCCTCTCCCTCCTATTAATACTGCTGCTTCCTTTGGAGTCGGTGGGATACACAGAATTTCTAGCTCTCTCAAATGAAGCTTTCAGTGTTAAGCTCTCTATGTTCAGAGGCAACGAGTAGTCCTGTGGCACCTTAAAGACTAACAAATATAGTATCATGAACTTTTGTGGGCAAAACCCACCTCTTCAGATGAGCATGAAAACATGGGTTTGCCCAGGAAAGCTCATGATACTATATTTTTTGGAATTAGTCTCTAGGGTGCCACAGGACTACTTGCTGTTTTTCAAGTTACAGACTAACACGGCTACCTCTCTGAGACTACATGTAGAGAGTGCTTCCTGGCAGTTTCTTTTACTATAGAGAATATCCTGAAATGTAAGCTCTGTCTGTCTGGAATATGGGGACAGATTTTGTGGGCATGCAGTGCGACTACAGACCACCACTGCTTGGGTGATGTCTCCTCTTAAACATTTAAGCTTTCATTTATAGGGTGACCATATTTTCCTATGCTGAATACAGGACACCGGGTAAAATTACTCATACTCAAGCAAATTGAATGGCAAGCAGAACTAAAGGAGTACAACCATTGAAATTAACATCAAGTTGACTAAGCCCCTGTTAAACAGAAATATTGAGTAGCTGGAGTCTTTTTATTTACCTTCTTATCTTTAAGGTTTGCCTGACGAGAGGTGATACACCTCTTTCACAAAAGGATGGGGGTGGCTGACTTACCTGAACCAATCCTCCCTTCCCAGTGCTCTCCATCATCCATGCTTAGCTGGGCCCCCAGAACAGACCCATATCTTCTCAAGCATAGCAGGGAGAGTATAGTAGAGGGGAGCTCTGTGAAGGGCCGATGGGTGGGCAGCAGAGGTGACACATAACTGGTCATGATAGCAAGCAGCCAGTGCTGGCTGGAAACAGGACAGAGGGTGAGGGGTATCTGTGACCAAGAACTGGCACAAAGCAAGGTCTGCGCTGACAGACCAGCAGGGGGAGTGGCCAGCTCCCACGCACTGCAGCTTTGCCCAACCACTAGTCTTGCATCCACCCCCACCAGTAGTCACTGGACCTCCACCTATATTTCCTCTAAGTTTTCCATCCATGTGCAGATTTTTTCCATCCATGAGTGGAATAATTTTACGTGAACCACCAACAGAAACAAAAAACCTAGAGAAGGGCATGCTGCGAATTAGCTGGGCAGCATTTGAATTTCTTCTGAGTGGCCACACAAATGTTCAGCTTACAGAGAACACTGACCTCCACCATTCACTGATAGGGAGCTGGCAAACAGGGATCTGGATGGCAGTAAGGATGTTTTGTATTGACTATATGATTAGTCTACAAGTGCCGCTCCACAGAGCTGCAGCGAGGGTAGCTCCAGGAGTTGACTGGAGCAGGGACTGACCCCGGAGCCACCCAAGCTGCGGCTCTGCATTTTAAATGTAGTAAGAGTCTCTAGACCTGTGGACACCAACTGGTCGATTGGGGGGGGGAGGGAAACTCGTCCAGTTGATCGTGAGGCATTCAGGGACCCCCCCCATTCCCTCCACCCCCAAGAAAAAGCCTGCACTGATACTACCTCTAGCGACAATGGAGGTAGTGCGGGCTTCCTGCGGGGTGAAGTCCCACAGCTGCGCATCACGTCAGAGTTTTCAGGAAGTATGTGGTCTGCTCCCTCCTCCCCCAAACAGCCAGCATACTTCCTGAACAGCCAGGTCTGTCATGCGCCAGCGACTCCCTTCTCCCTGCTGCCTTCCTGTGCCGGGAGGGGGATGGAGCGGGGGAAGAATAGGAGTCCCAGGGCTGCATGCAAGTTCCAACTGCTCAGGAAACGCATGTTGTCATGGGGAGTGGAAGAGTAGGGCGCACGCACTTCCGGAGTAGTTGCAGCTGGCACGCAGTCCTGGGACTCCTACTCCCCCGCCCCACATAGGAAGGCAGCAGTGGGAAGGAAGTTGCCGGTGTGTGACAGACACGGCTGTTCAGGAAGTGCACCAGCTGTTTGGGGCGGGGAGAAGTAGCGCATGTGCTTCCTGAGACCCAGACCTGGCGCGCAGCTGCAGGATCCCCAGGTACTGGCCCTAGCTGGCCCTCCCCTAGGCCAGACCCCTCCGTGAGTACCCTGCCTCCTGCCCCCACCAGCACCCTGTCTCCTGCCTTAACACCCTGCCTCCACCAGCATAGTTGGGGCCACATTAGTAAGGCTTGGGGTTTTTTTTTGGTTTGGTTTTTTTTTTGCATCTCACTTTCATAGCCCCAACTGACTTTTATGTGGGTCAGTGAGCCCTGACTCAAAACAAGTTCCCTGTCCCTCTCATAAATAAAGACAATGCTGAAACCTTTTGTTTGACATAAAATTTTATTTAAAAATGAAGCCAGGCCAGCAAGCCCCCATTTGGGACCAAGCCCCATCTGGCCACAGCATCGTAACAATCCTGCACACATACCCCAGACCTCAAATCTGAGCCTATCATACACTGGAATCCCCTGTCCTGAGCCTCTCACATTCCCAAACACCTGCACCCTCACATCCTCAGTCTTCTACCACAACACTCCTGCACTAGCCACACACCACAAATCTGTGTCCTGGGCCCATCACACTCCCAACCTCCCTGCCCTGAGTCCCTCACAAATCCCAACCCAAACTCCTGCACCCCCACACATCCACAAACCTGTGGCTTGCTCAGCACCCCAAACCTCCACCTGAGAGCACACAACCAGGGCGGTTAGCGTCAGGAAAAAGGAAAGAGAGAGTGTGGGGCCTCAAGGAAGGGGTGGGGTCTTGGGGAAAGGATGGGGTAGATCTTGGCTTGTCCTGACATTTAAAAAGTGATCTTAGGTTTAAAAAGGTTGGAGACCAGTACTCTAGACTATTACTACGTTTAACATGCAGAAGCACAGTGATCAGCATGAGGCAACACTGCTCAGTCCGGCTCACACTGAGTCCAGCAGGCCCTGTTTGTGGCGGACAACTCTATCCACCGTGAACAGGAGCTGGTGCCAGAGAAGCCTCTGTTCGTGGTGGCCAGGGCTGGGCCCAGACAGCAGCCCCTGGCCACCACGAACAGGGGTTGCTTGGTGGCAACAGCCCCTGGCCGTGGTGGAGGGAGAGCAGCTCCCCACTGGGATCCCTGCAGACACGGGCTGCTTTGCAGCAGCATCTCCTATTCCCCCCTCCCCCTGCTGCCTCTAATAAAGGTGGCACCCTAGAGATGGTGCTGAGGGCAACCAGGTTTTAAACCGCCCCCCCCCAGCACTGGTTCCTGTCCCCCTGCCCTGCAGCAAGGGGGGGGGGGGGGCGCTGCAGAGAGCACAGGGTGAGCGGGGTAGGGTTGTAAAAACGGCCTAAAAAGTTAACCAGCTAAGCAATTTGTTTAACCGGTTAAGTAGCTCAACACCTAAGCCACGTGACGATTCTCCACCCGCCCGATCCCCCCACATTGTGTTGTTCACACTTGCTATCTGGTCACCAGTAGCGACCGATGCCTGGGGGGGCGGAGGGTCTGGAGGCTGCCACAAGGGTCAGGGAGTACGATTCTGACAGGGTCGGGGGGCGAGGCACCGCCCGATCGCTCCCAGGAGTCACCTCTGCTGGTCACCCTAGTTACCAGGGGACACGGGTTCTCCCCCCGCACACACGCCCCACCGCTCCCCCAGGTCTATCCCCCGCCGCGGCCCGCCCCCGGCTCCCCACGCCCCTCCCC